TTATTATAACTTTTGGAGTTGTTTGTGTGTGTGTGTGTGTGTGTGTGTGTGTGTGTGTGTGTGTGTGTGTGTGTGTGTGTGTGTGTGTGTGTCAGTGTATGTGTGTATGTGTGCGCACTCACGTAAGTGTTCAAGTGAATGTGTGTGTGTGTTTTGTGTGTGTGTGTGTGTGTGTGTGTGCTTGTGTGTGTCAGTGTGTTTGTGTATCGGTTTGGGGAGGGGAAGGTGTTTTTGCCTTCCAGCGGAGTTTTTTTCGTTGTCCAATAGCTTGTCGGTTTGAGTTTTGTTTTATGTTAAAGGTCATTTCACTTACCACGTTTGTCTGCCATATGACTCCAGAAAATATCCTTTAACCTTAGGATCTTATCGAGGATCAAACCGTGGGCCTCCATAAATGAAACTGGAGTCTCAACCACAGCACCCTTGGGAAAGGTCTACTTCACTCCTTCATTCGGAACTTACTTGACCTACAACACACATCCGGGCTGCTCACTCCCTGAAGAGCCAATATGGAGGGCTGCGGTGGCGTCATGTGTAAAAGACAATTTTATCTAACTTTAGAACTGAGAGGGCAGGGTGCTGAAGCTGACATCTACCCACCATAGTAACCCCAGGTTAGCATAGTAGCAGACTGTCATGGAAAACCCCAACAAAATCAAACCAGAAACATTATGAATGGTAAGTCAAACGTTCAATATAGACATTTAACTTACCTTTCTTGTCCGGAGCAAGAAGCAAGACAGCCAGAAGTCGGTCAGGTGTCTCAACTTGCGACCTCAGTCCACCTTGGGCGTAAGAGACAGCATTGGCGAGGAGGGGGCTCACCAACAGAGCAAAGGTAGGGAAGAAGCACAAATACTGAACGCTGATGGCAGCCATTTTGGGAGCTGGTGGTTACTTAATCCGATCAAAAGTTCGGGTAAACTTCTTTTTTATATTTATATATAGTTATTGTTTTTTTTTAAATTATATAGTCCACACTTTAGTAACCCCAGAACAGGATCTGAAAACTGTTATCGCCGATAACCAGAGTGGCGTGAAGACAAGATTGTTTCACAATCAGTGCCTGCGTAGCATAAAAATTACAATCTTAATTTTATTTATCTTTAATCAGAGTTTTCTTTACGGGTCTTACATGTAAAACCATGGAGAGCTGTTGTTTTGCTTGGAACCAAAGAAATACCAAAGCGATCCTTTCTGTCTAGTTCCCCCCAAAAAGACCTCGCACTAATCCGGGTTTTTTAAAGGGCAAACTTTAAAAAACACTACCGGCTATTGCGCGGAAACAATTTGAACGGCTAGCTCCTGGAGTTTCCTGGCCCCTTTCCCTGTGTAGACTGCCAGACCCTGAGCAACGTTCTTGCGCTCCTATGTGTAAGACTAACGGCGGGCCTTCGTCTTTCGCCGTGCAATCACGACGTGCGCGTGGAGCGAATCCCACGCGCAGAGACAGCCCTCACTCGCAATGTCCAACGTCACTGCTGTTAGTGACATGGGTTAGAGCGATGATAATCACTGTATGCCCTTTCTCTTGGAAGATTAAAAAAGTATTATAGTAAGTCTACAACTCAACTTGCCAGACTTCAAGGTGGAGTATCAGATCGCTGCGTCGCCAGTTGAATAAGACTGAAAGAAGGAGCAAACCACACCCGCAGAGCACCCGCCAACCACCCGCTTTCTTTCCTATCAAATATCTATCGTCCTTATACATCCTCCTTCGTTCTTTGTTTGTTATTTTCCTCTAGAAACACGTTAAATCTTCGGCATTTGTATGATATGAGCTTATTGTTTTGCAAGTGCCATAGAAACGCTTACTTAAACTGAAGGAAAAACGTTCCATGGCAATAATGTGATAAAAAAACCAAAAACAAACAAAAACATTACCTCTTAATAATTCCTCTATAAAATAGCCTGCTCACTTTGCTCTGACCGCGGTTAAAACAAGTTAACATGAAATCGCTGTAGCATGATACCGTCCACATTTCTCACACTACTTGATGTGAATAGCACTGACAAAGTTCGTTACCGTAACATTACAAACTTCTATCCGACATTATTTTACCGTTTTGAGTTACTCAGACCCTGAGATCAGAAGTCAGAGGTTCTTCTGCTCTATCAAAGTAAGACTATTGGGAATCGCTATCAAAATATGAAACTGGAGTCTCAACCACAGCACCCTTGGGCTGAGACAGCATTGGCGAGGAGGGGGCTCACCAACAGAGCAAAGGTAGGGAAGAAGCACAAATACTGAACGCTGATGGCAGCCATTTTGGGAGCTGGTGGTTACTTAATCCGATCAAAAGTTCGGGTAAACTTCTTTTTTATATTTATATATAGTTATTGTTTTTTTTTAAATTATATAGTCCACACTTTAGTAACCCCAGAACAGGATCTGAAAACTGTTATCGCCGATAACCAGAGTGGCGTGAAGACAAGATTGTTTCACTCTGTGAAACTCTCTGTAATACCGCGGTTAAAACAAGTTAACATGAAATCGCTGTAGCATGATACCGTCCACATTTCTCACACTACTTGATGTGAATAGCACTGACAAAGTTCGTTACCTTAACATTACAAACTTCTATCCGACATTATTTTACCGTTTTGAGTTACTTAGACCCTGAGATCAGAAGTCAGAGGTTCTTCTGCTCTATCAAAGTAAGACTATTGGGAATCGCTATCAAAATATGTAAGAATCCCATTTAAAAAGCTTGACATGTTCTGAAACTCAAGATTCTTTCTTAATGACACATTTCTCAAAACTAGGTAGCCTACTGAGCAGATAGAACTTTGTAATTCTAGAGTAGCGAAATGCAAAGAAATATGGAATGTCATAATATGCTTAAAAGTAGAACAATTATATCTAAGTTTCTCTTAAACTAACAGATAAATGACGCATGACGTCATCACCCCCCCCCCCCCCCACTTCTCCCTAATGGCTTTCACCTCCAAAAAAAAAAAGAAAAACCCCCCAAACGTACGAAAACACACAACAGCAAGGGATACTGAGCAACGCAATAAAACCAGCAACAAGACAACAGAATGAAGAGACTAATAACCAAAAATGTTTATCAATAAGACAACGGAAGGGGTGAAAATACCAAAAATGAAACTCTCTGTAATACTTATGTTTCCGTTGCTCTCGTCGTTCTTTCTGCAGACAATACTGCATGTTAATGGATACAATGATTTTGTGTGAGAAGAAATGGGGTGAGTATGTTGTACACTTGGATTTGTTAAAGACCGGAAAGACGCGCGGGTATACTATTTTTATTTGTTGGATTAACCCACCTTGACATTTGATCCTAGAATTCAGCTGTGGTTTGGAGGTATCTATTTTCCCTTCTTTCTAACCTTCTTTATTTTACTTTACTCTTAATACCAAGTGGATCACTGTGGCGTAGTAGGCCATGTGCTTGAACTGCCTCGCAGAACTTCGATTCCAAATGCAGTTAGATTTTTTTAAATTGTTTTATGTCATTTTTGAGTGTAATTTTTCTGAAATATTTCTTCTTAGCCGGATGTCTTGGTGAAGCATCGAGTGTCCAATCATACGGAGAACCTATATTAGGTTTAGTAAAGCGGTAAAAAAGAAAGGTTAAAAGGGCTACACAAGCATTAAGGTTAACCCGTCATTGTTTCCTATTCACAAGAGATCTACATCGGAATTCTTTCTGTGCATGTTGTGTTCAGTTAAAAAGTGCATTGTTGTCCCATTCAGGTTGTGTCCTTTTCAAAGGATCAACTGCAATAGACGAAAAAGTACATTCTTTCTTCCACTCTTGGTCAGGATTTTTTTCTGTCAAGGCATGTTATCTTTAGGTTATTTTAAGAAATCAAATGGTCGCGATTTTCCTTTCCTGTTGCACTTATGATTATAACATTTCTCCTTTCTTTCTTTCTTTCTTACTTCTTCTTCTTCTTTTCGTTGTTGTTGTTGTTGTTGTTTTTGTTGTTGTTGTTGTTGTTGTTGTTGTTGTTGTTGTTGTTGTTGTTGTTGTTCTTCTTCTTCTTCTTCTTCTTCTTCTTCTTCTTCTTCTTCTTCTTCTTCTTCTTCTTCTTCTTCTTCTTCTTCTTCTTCTTCTTCTTCTTCTTCTTCTTCTTCTTCTTCTTCTTCTTCTTCTTCTTCTTCTTCTTCTTCTTCTTCTTCATCTTCTTCTTCTTCTTCTTCTTCTTCTTCTTCTTCTTCTTCTTCTTCTTCTTCTTCTTCTTCTTCTTCTTCTTCTTCATTATGGATGTTGCTGTTGTTGATATTATTGTTGTTGTTGTTGCTGTTGTTGTTGTTGTTGTTGTTGTTGTTGTTGTTGTTGTTGTTGTTGTTGTTGTTGTTGTAATTGTTGTTGTTAATAATGATGATGATGATGATGATGATGATGATGATGATGATGATGATGATGATGATGATGATGATGATGATGATGATGATGGTGGTGTTAATCTATTCGCTGTTGTTATTGATGATGTTTACGCAATTAATGTTGTTGCTGATGTTGTTCTTGGTGTTGGTGTTGTTGGCGTTGTCCCGTAACTAGACTGATGTAGACCATTCAAGAGCCAAGAGCACCAGTAGCCTGGATGGGGTGAAGAGGAAATAATTCTGGAAAAGGTAAGAAAACTTTGGACCCCATTCCGATTACAGCCCGGAACTCCGAAGAGGCAAAATGATAATAATAATATCATTAATGTTACCTACTGCGCAGCATCAACTCTCAGCACCAAAAGCGAAAAGTTGGGACTGGCTTTTCGTGGGCGTAGTCCAGCCGTTATTTATAGAAGGAAATTCTTGGGGAAAAGGTAAGATTGATTTGGAAATGAATATGACTATTTCGGTCCCACCGCTCAGGAGAAAGGAAATTTATATAGATTCTATCGAATGGGGGCAGTGACCCCGGTCTTTATTGATTACAGAAAATGGTCAATACTCTTTGAATGACCTTTCGTTTCTTAAGAACAACATTCGCTCAGGTAACTATCGATATTCTCTCCTGTTTACAGTTTTACCCTAGAAAGGAAAGTCTGCAAAGTGTTTGTGGAAAGGGAAAGGAATCCACTTTCTTATGGAAATTCCAGCTTAGCGTGGGTGTTAGTAAAAAAAAACCCCACTCAATTCTCGTCAATGAAAGTATCAAGCGCGCATTGCATATGAATAGCATTTGACGTCAGAGGTAATCAAGCGTTATCTTGATCGTCACCTTAAAGAACAATGTTAGCCTTACTTGAAGACCACTTTGTAACCTGAAAGACTCAAATTATTCACATTTTCATAATAAAAGAATATGCCAGGGACCATTATTAGAAGGGGGGGGGGGGTTATAGAGAGTGTGGAGAAGGTGGGGCAGGGGAATCGGGAGTAAACAACAATACAAGAGGTTTAAAACATGGAAATCAGTAGAAACATGGAAACCAAAGAAACGACATTGACAAAATGTCGGTCGCCTGATGAAATCGTGAATTCCACACGAAGCAAATTTTACAGGAGAGGGAAAAAACTGATTTTCTCCTCCATTTGGCGCCCAAGATATAAACTAAATGGATAAATCTAGTCAATTACTTTTTAGAAATAACACTGTAGTACTTTCGTTACCGCAGATGGTCATTTTTTCGAAAAAGTGTGGGATTCACGATTTTCATATTCGAATCTCGCCTGATGCGGTCGTGAATTCCACAGAGGTGTGGAATTCACGATTTCATCAGGTGGCTTTATGAAACGCGACGGTGTATTCACGGTTATTGGGCAGTCTGTTTTCTCATATTAGAGGCCCTCGTACTTTTAAAAATATATGAAAGCATGAAATACTGATACATACCAAAGATTTTAAAAGACCAATTTAAAACTGAGTTCGAAATTACAGACTGAGTGAAACAGAAAGCTATTCATTATTTTACCATCTGATATAAACATCTATCATTCTTACACGAATGGGATATTGTATGTAATTTATGAAACCATACTCCTTCATTTGCGTGCTTTCCCTCTTTCTATCCTTCTTTCTCCAAAATTGTATGTAAGTGTATGTCCTTTTTTATTAGGCTGGGGAGCAGGGAGGGAGGGGTGGATGGGTTGAAAACTTGATTTTTAAAAAAATCAAACTTCTATACATCGTGAATGACTGAAAGATCATATTTCATTATCTTAATCCTTTTGTCTCTCAAATTACTCTTTGCGATTTTTAAAGCAGAATGATACAGGTGTGGGGAACTGTTTGTTAAGTTTTCCCTTTCTCTGAACTTAAGAAGACTCCCCCACTCTTCGTTAGAGTTCAGTTTGCAAATAATTTCTCCTTTTTCAGAAGCTTCATATTGCATTAACTGTTTGGTCTTCTTTTTGTCTACCCGACTTGACAGTTTTGTGGACTGCAATTTGGGCAAAATTGTGGATGAAAATGTGATCCATAAATTTCCCGTTG